AGCAGCAGCTACTGCAACATGAACAGCAGCAACTGCAGCAGCAACAACAGCTGCAGCAGCAACAGCTGCAGCAGCAGCTGCAGCAGCAACTGCAGCAGCCGCAGGGAACTCCTCCTTCTCTTTGTTTTTCTTTTGCTGCTCCGCAGCACCACAGAGGCTTTGGAGCGGTAGCTCGTACCAGCCGCGAACTCTCGCTTATTGCTGCCGAGGTGCTGCTGCCGCTGCTGCTGCTGCTGCCGCTGCTGCTGCTGCTGCTGCTGCTGCTGCTGCTGTTGCTGTTGCTGTTACTGCTGCTGCAGCTTGGTGCAGGAGCAGCACTAGCTATCGTGGTGCTATTGCGTTTGCGTTTTTAATATTTTCTATGCGATGCTGCGATCTGTCTCCCTCATTTTCTCTGCTGCTGCTGCTGCTCCTTTTGCTGCTGCTGCTGCTGCATATACTGCTGCTGCTGCTGCTGTGTTTCTGCTGCTGCAGCAGGCAACGCGGGGCCCTGGCTTCACCGTCCTGCTGGAGGGGGTTTCTCTCTGGGGCTTTGCTGCAGCACGAAACCTCGATGCTGCTGACCCTTGTACTTGGATTGCTGCTGCATGCGTTGCATGCGGAGCAGCAGCACAACGTATCTTCAGCAGCAGCAACAACACAGGCTGCTGCAGTGCATGCGGCCATGAAGACCTCTTGCTTAGGTATGCACGCTGCAGCAACTGCTGCAGCAACTGCTGCAGCAACTGCTGCAGCAACTGCTGCAGCAGCAGCAGCAACAGCAGCAGCAGCAGAGAGCAGCACAGCAGCAGCAGCACTAGCAGCAGCTATTAAAGGGTTGGTTATCGTATTCACTGCGTTTGCTGCTGCTTGTGTTGCTGCTGCAGCTACGACCTGCCGCTGCTGCTGCTGGATGAGGAGGACGTTGTGGTGTCTGTACACCTCAGGGACCCCCACGTGCGTTTTTTTTTTTTTTTTTTTTTTTTTTTTTTTTTTTTTTTTTTTTTTTTTTTTTTTTTTTTTTTTTTTTACATTGCCCCTCCCCTTATTTTATTTATTTTTGTTGTCAATATACAAGTAAGAGGTATTTTACATGTGCTTTGGTCTGTACCTACTGAGGGTTTAGGGTTTAGGGTTTAGGGTTTAGGGTTTGTTGTGTGTGCAGGGTTGTATGTTCTCTCCCATCAACGACGGAGGCATTGCGCCCCCCGCTTCGTTGCTGCGGCCGGAGGTGAGGGGGTTGCTGCTGTCTCTGTTTAGGGGTTTAGCTTACCCCTATCAGCTGCATACTCTATCTGCCCCTGATGGCTCCACCAGCAGCAGCAGCAGCAGCAGCAGCAGCAGCAGCAGCAGCAGCAGCAGCAGGAGAGAGAGGAGGCGGCATTCGTTGCTGCTGCGGCTAATTCAGCAGCAGCAAACGGGGGCACCGCAGTGGGTGGTGGTGGAGCCAACCCTCGTGAGCTCTTCTTTTTAGTTTATTTTATAAAACAAAATAAACAAAAACAATAAAATTATAAATTAATACTAATTGTAATAAACACACAAAACAAGAACAATAAAAATAAAGTAAATAAATAAATAAATAATAAAAGCAACGAACTAAGACAAAAACAACAAACAGTAAACAGAATAAAAAACAACTATAACAATAAACAACAAAAAAAACAACAACGATAGACAGCACAACAACAACAATAAAAAAAAAAAATAAAACAGAATAAAAATAAAAACAAAAAAAAATAAAAAAAAAACAAAAAAAACAAAAACAAATGCATTGATTAAGAAATTACAATAGTTTGTCTATTTGCCCACAAAGCGCCGCAGCGGGGGGCCATAGATAACTGTAGAGGCAGCCCGGGTGTTCTTGCTGCTTCTCCTGCTGCAGCTGCTGCTGCTGCAGCTGTTGCTGCTGCTGCTGCTGCAGCTGTTGCTGCTGCAGATGTTGTTGCTGCAGCTGTTGCTGGTGCAGCTGTTGCTGCTGCTGCAGCTGTTGCTGCTGCGACTGTTGCTGCTGCAGCTGTTGCTGCACCTGCAGCTGCTTCTCCTGTTGCTACAAACGCTGCTGCTGCTTTGCTTTTTGCCGCAGTTGCTTCTGTTGCTGCTGCAGCTGTCTTTACTGCTACTGCAGCAGCTGCTAGTTCTCCTGCTGCTGCAGCAGCTTCTGGTGCTGCTGCTGTTGCTGCTGCTGCAATTGTGTGGGGCCCTGAGCTGCTGCGTTGCACGTTCGAGTGAAAGACGAGGAGAAGCTTGAGAAGCTCTGCTGCTGCTGCTGCTGCTGCTGCTGCTGCTGTTGCTGCTGCTGCTGCTGCTGCTGGTTGGGGCAGCCAGCATGCTGCTTGCTGCTGATCTCAGCTGTCCGTACACCCGGTGGCCTCAACATGAAAAACACGCATATACAACAACAACACAAAGATACAAAGCAGCAGGGCCCCCAGAACAGCAGCAGCAGCAGCATAAAGGAGAAGAAGGGGCCTCTGTACCTGAGGGTTCGAGGGGGGGGGGGCCCCCAGGGGGGCCCCCC